GTCTATAGTCTAGTCTATAGTCTAGTCTAGTCTAGTCTATAGTCTAGTCTATAGTCTAGTCTATAGTCTAGTCTATAGTCTAGTCTATAGTCTAGTCTATAGTCTAGTCTATAGTCTAGTCTATAGTCTAGTCTATAGTCTAGTCTATAGTCTAGTCTATAGTCTAGTCTATAGTCTAGTCTATAGTCTAGTCTATAGTCTAGTCTATAGTCTAGTCTATAGTCTAGTCTATAGTCTAGTCTATAGTTTAGTCTATAGTCTAGTCTATAGTCTAGTCTATAGTCTAGTCTATAGTCTAGTCTATAGTCTATTCTATAGTCTAGTCTATAGTCTAGTCTATAGGATAGTCTATAATCTAGTCTATAGTCTAGTCTATAGTCTAGTCTATAGTCTAGTCTATAGTTTAGTCTATTCTATAGTCTAGTCTATGGACTAGTCTATAGTTTAGTCTATGGACTAGTCTATAGTTTAGTCTATGGACTAGTCTATAGTCTAGTCTATGGACTAGTCTATAGTCTCGTCTATGGACTAGTCTATAGTCTAGTCTATAGTCTAGTCTATAGTCTAGTCTATAGTCTAGTCTATAGTCTAGTCTATAGTCTAGTCTATAGTCTAGTCTATAGTCTAGTCTATAGTCTAGTCTATAGTCTAGTCTATAGTCTAGTCTATTGTCTAGTCTATAGTCTAGTCCTATAGTCTAGTCTATAGTCTAGTCTATAGTCTAGTCTATAGTCTAGTCTATAGTCTAGTCTATAGTCTAGTCTATAGTCCTAGTCTATAGTCTAGTCTATAGTCTAGTCTATAGTCTAGTCTAGTCTATAGTCTAGTCTATGTCTAGTCTATAGTCTAGTCTATAGTCTAGTCTATAGTCTAGTCTATAGTCCTAGTCTATAGTCTAGTCTAGTCTAGTCTATAGTCTAGTCTATAGTCTAGTCTATGTCTAGTCTATAGTCTAGTCTATAGTCTAGTCTATAGTTCTAGTCTATAGTTAGTCTAGTCTAGTCTATAGTCTAGTCTATAGTCTAGTCTATAGTTCTAGTCTATAGTCTAGTCTATAGTCTAGTCTATAGTCTAGTCTATAGTCTAGTCTATAGTTAGTCTTTCAGTCTAGTCTATAGTCTAGCCTATAGTCTAGTCTATAGTCTACTCTTTAGTCTAGTCTATTGCCTATTCTATAGTCTAGTCCTATAGTCTAGTCTGTAGTCTCGTCTATAGTCTAGTATATAGTCTAGTTATAGTCTAGTATATAGTCTAGTCTATAAACTAGTCTATAGTTAGTCTTAGTTCTAGTCTATAGTCTAGTCTATAGTCTAGTCTATAGTCTAGTCTATAGTCTAGTCTATAAACTAGTCTATAGGCTATACTATAGTCTACAGTCTAGTTCTAGTTTAGTAAAAAATGGAGCTTGGAATTCACGTGTATTACCCTTCCCTTGTTCCTCTTTTATAGATTTTTTTTCAAAAATCTGAAATAAAATCCCTTTACAATTATTTGTTTTAATCCTTTTAAATGCCATTAATATTTTTAGCCTCGAAATATTAAAAATCCTAAATTGTTATTTATGTTTTTAAATGTTTGGCGTATGTCTGCTGTAGAAATATTTAGCAGCATTAGCTGCAATAATAAATATTAAATAACGAAAAAAAAAACATAAATGCATAAAAATTATTTAAAAAAGTCATAAATTAAAACAAATACAAGTGGTCTTTAAAAAAAGATAAACAACGAATGTTTAAGGGACACTACGGGAAAAAGGATGTTTAATGATAGCATATCCTGCAGGGTAGTTAAAAGGTTAAGCTAGAACATTGGGAACCAACACAGTGTGAACTTAGTACATTGTAGAAGCCTTCAATCTCTGGACAAGTTTCAGAATTTTCGACAAAAAAGATTTCGCTTTTTTATCCTCAAATTTTTTAGCTTACAACAAAATGTAGCTCATTTTTAATACAGCTCAAAGTATTACATTCATTATACCTACTGCTTAGTTTTATTTAAATTTCCCCTTTTAAGTGAATTTTGAAATGTCTGCATAAGTGTTAAAATATTTAAAGGTTTTTAATTTATGGCTCAATAAATAAATATAATAAATTATTAACAAGATATGTTTGCGTTTAATAAATAAATGCATATGTAGTTATAAAACTTATAAATAAACATGTTAAAAATACATTTTTAAAACGCACCAAAAATATGTTATCGACTAAATAATAAATTAGAAAATAAAATATTATAAAAAAAAATAAATATTTTAAAATAGTGGAAAGTTAAAATGTTATTTTAAACTAAATAATCTAATTTAAATGAAAATATAAATGTAAATAATTGAAAACAAGTACATACATACATTGGCAAAAATTTGTTTACCTTTGTATACATGGAAAACAACAGTACGTATGATTGTTATTTAATGGAAAAATATTACACATACGAATGGTAGTGCGGAGTAAAAAAATTGTCTTAACAAGACACTTTTTTAAAGAAAACTATATGTAATAAAGTACACTTCTGTATAGAAAACTACAAGACAAGACAGTTCTCTAAAGAAAACTGTCTATACCAGACTCGACAAGACACTTTTCTATAGAAAACCGTGTCTCGACAAGACACTTTTTTTATAGAAAACTTTCTTGAAAAGACACTTTTCTATTGAAAACTGCCTGTACAGGACACTTTTCTAAAGAAAACTGTTTGTACAAGACACTTTTGTAAAGAAAACTGTCCATACAAGACACTTTTCTAAAGAAAACAGACCATACAACATACTTTTCTAAAGAAAACTATCTGTACAAGACACTTATCTAAAGAAAACTGTCTATACAAGACACTTTTTTTAAAGAAAACTGTATGTTCAAAACACTTTTCTAAAGAAAACCGTCTGTACAAGATACTTTCCTAAAGAAAATTGTCTGTATAAGACAATTTTCTAAAGAAAACTGTCTGTACAAGACACTTTTCTAAAGAAAACTGTCTGTACAAGACATTTTTAAAGAAAACTGTCCGTACAAGACACTGTACAAGACGTTTTTCTAATGAAAGCTATCTATACAAGACACTTTTCTAAAGGAAACTGTCTGTAAAAGACAGTTATTGCATATTCAAGACACTTATATAAAGAAAACTGTCTATACAAGACACTTTTCTAAAGAAAACTGTTTGTACAAGACACTTTTCTAAAGAAAACTGTCTGTACAAGTCACTTTTTTAAAGAAAACTGTCTGTACAAGACACTTTTCTAAAGAAAACTGTCTGTACAAGACACGTTTCTAAAGAAAACTGTCTGTACAAGACACTTTTCTAAAGAAAACTGTCTGTACAAGACATTTTTTAAAGAAAACTGTCCGTACAAGACACTTTTCTAAAGGAAACTGTCTGTACAAGACAGTTATTGTCTATTCAAGACACTTATCTAAAGAAAACTGTCTATAGACACTTTCCTAAAGAAAATTGTCTGTACAGAACACTTCCCTAAAGAAAATTGTCTGTACAAGACATTTTTCTAATGAAAACTATCTATACAAGACACTTTTCTAAAGGAAACTGTCTGTACAATACACTTTTCTAAAGAAAACTGTCCGTACAAGACACTTTCCTAAAGAAAACTGTCTGTACAAGTCACTTTTTTAAAGAAAACTGTCTATACAAGACACTTTTCTAAAGAAAACTGTCTGTACAAGACACTTTTCTAAAGAAAACTGTCTGTACAAGACACTTTTCTAAAGAAAACTGTCTGTACAAGACACTTTTCTAAAGAAAACTGTCTATACAAGACACTTATCTAAAGAAAGCTGTCTGTATAACACAATTTTCTAAAGAAAACTGTCTGTACAAGACACTTTTCTAAAGAAAACTGTCTGTACAAGACGCTTTACTAAAGAAAACTGTTTGTACATGACACTTTTCTAAAGAAAACTATCTGTACAAGACACGTTTCTAAAGAAAAATGTCTGTATAAGACACTTTTCTAAAGAAAACTGTCTGTACAAAACACTTTTCTAAAGAAAACTGTCTGTACAACACACTTTTCTAAAGAAAACTGTCTATACAAAACACTTTTCTATAGAAAACCGTCTGTTCAAAACCCTTCTTTAAGGAAATCTGTCTGTAGTAGACACTTTTCTAAACAAAACTGTCTCGACAATTCACTTTTCTAATGAAAACTTTCCGTACAACTTACTTTTCTAAAGAAAACAGTCTATACCAGACACTTTTCTAAAGAAAACTGTCTATACCAGACACTTTACTAGAGAAAACTGTCTGTCCAAAACATTTTCTCTAAGGAAATATGTCTGTACAAGACGCTTTTCGAAAGAAAACTGTCTAAAAAAGACATTTTTCTAAAGAAAACTATCTGTACAAATCACGTTTCTAACGAAAACTTTTTTGACAAAACACTTCTATGAAGAAAATTTTTCAACAAGACCCTTTTTTAAAGAAAACTGTCCCTACCACTTTCTAAAACGAATTGAATTTTGTTCTCACAACATATATTTCTAAAATATTTCTGCTTCTACGTTTGTCCTTTTAAAGGTCACATAAGTACATTTCGCAATCATATTAATCATAATGAAACTAATGAAAATTAAGTGTAAAACTTAAATTGTTTTTCCAGCTAAGATTTATCCTCTTAACACAATTTTTCTTAATAACAAAAAAAAGCAAACTAATTTATAATAATTAAAAATAAGCAAACACTATTTAAATAAGAACACAATACAAAAAACAGTATTTAAATATTTATGTCTAAACTTCAACAAACAAAGAAAGTTTGAAATGAAAAAAGAAACATAATTTATGCAAACACTTAAAGGACACTAAGAGATGGGACAGGATATAAAAAAAAATAGCCAAGCTAAAATAAATAAAGAACAAAGTGTATAAAACAACATTTATGATTGTTATAATTTGCTTTAAAACTAACATTATAAGCAGGATGGCGAGGAATTGCTACTAAGAAAAGAAAAAAAAAAGAATAACGACAAGGTGTTAATGTTACTTACCCCTGTTAAAGCTTGTTTATCATTTAAAATGGATGCAGCTGCTGCTGTTGTTGTTAAGGCAGTTGGTGAGGTAGAAGCCGTAGTGCTATCTGGTGTAAAATATGTTAAGAAAGCACAACCTTAAAGATAAAAGAAAATAAATTCCAAAAATTAGTTAATTGTTAAAAGGAAATTTAAAAATATTAATAAAAAAATAGGGGTCAACAGAACGTATGAGTGTTGTAAAGTAAAATAATTAAGAAAAATATTAAGTATACGCAGAGTGATATAAAATATTATTTATTTTTTAAGGAAAAATTTTGTTCACAAGATATTTATACAACAGCTTCTAGTTTTACTTGAATACTTTTCCCCCATTCATCTAAACCTTTTTCTTTTCAACTAAATCTTAGCTACAATTGAGAACAATAAGCCAAAGAAGTAAAACATGTTGGCTTGTGATAACCTTTTCTTTAGCTAATGGCTTTTAATGAATAAATTATATACATGTTCTACCACAACTACAAGGTTTGTAAGCCTGTCGATGTCAAAGCTGCTCCATAAGCACATATAAGAAGGAAACAAAAGAAAGTTTGTGTGTGTGTGTGCTTAAGAAAATACAAACTTTTAGCTCAATATAACACCTACAACCAAAACAAACGCCCAAGTAACCCACAATTGTAAAGATTACTACAAACTAAGTATAACAAAAGAAAATTTTCCAAAGTTGCTATTTATTTATGGAAAAAATACACATGTTCTCAAAAGTTCAAGAGTTTGGGCTAAAAAGCTATTGTTATATTTACAAAGAAAATACTGGTTACCTTTGGTATAAGAAGTTGGATAAAAAAGACAAAAATGTTGTTATTAAAAGCCATCGTTAGTTACAATATTCCACTTTATGGTTTGAAACTAACTAGTGATGGTATCAGTTTGTCAGCATAAATGTGCTCTCTTTATTGTTGTTCATAAATGATTTATTAAAAATCTACTTTAACCAATTAAATGCTGCATAATAGATGACCCTGTAAAATTTTTTCTTTGCTTTATATAGGAATTATTTATTTATCGAGACGTGGTTGAGTGTGTGTGTATGTGTATGTGCCGTAAAGCCAAAAAGAAAATCTCATACAATCATTAAATTAATTATACACACGATAATAAATTATATTTCTTAATAAATAATTTCCATTTTACACCCACAGGGGACAATTTGATAAATTTCTATTGTTTGTCTGAGATAAAAAAGAGCAGATATTAAGTGAATTATTACCTCGCAAAAAATATAAAAGCCAGTAAAAATATTTGTCACTTATGTATTATGTTAGCAGAAAAATAATATATTTTAGAAGTGAAAATATATATCAGGAAGGAACTAGAACTTAACTACAACAGAACTGTTAACTACAACAGAACTAGAAGAGAACTAGAACAGAACTAGAAGAGAACTAGAAGAGAAACTAGACCAGAACTAGAACAGAACTAGAACAGACTAGAAACAGAACTAGAACAGAACTAGAACAGAACTAGAACAGAACTAGAACAACTAGAACAGACCGAGAACAGACACTAGAACAAGAACAGAAACAGAACTAGAACAGAACAGACAGAACTAGAACGAACTAGAACAAACTAGAACAGAACTAGACAGAACTAGAAACAGAACTAGAACAGAACTAGAACAGAACTAGAACAGAACTAGAACAGAACTAGAACAGAACTAGAACAAGAACAGAACTAGAACAGAACTAGAACAGAACTAGAACAGAACTAGAACAAGGACTAGAACAGAACTAGACAGAATAGAACAGAACTAGAACAGACTAGAAACAGAACTGAACAGAACTAAACAGAACTAGAACAGAACTAGAACAGAACTAAGAACAGAACTAGAACAGAACTAGAACAGAACTAGAACAGAACTAAAGAACAGAACTAAACAGAACTAGAACAGAACTAGAAACTAGAACAGAACTAGAAACAGAGACTAGAACAGAACTAGAACAGAACTAGAACAGAACTAGAACAGACTAGAACTAAAGAACTAGAACAGAACTAGAACAGAACTAGAAAACAGAACTAGAACAGAACTAGAACAGAACTAGAACAGAACTAGAACAGAACTAGAACAGAACTAGAACAGAACAGAACTAGAACAGAACTAGAACAGAACTAGAACAGAACTAGAACAGAACTAGAACAGAACTAGAACAGAACTAGAACAGAACTAGAACAGAACTAGAACAGAACTAGAACAGAACTAGAACAGAACTAGAACAGAACTAGAACAGAACTAGAACAGAACTAGAACGAACTAGAACAGAACTAGAACAGAACTAGAACAGAACTAGAACAGAACTAGAACAGAACTAGAACAGAACTAGAACAGAACTAGAACAGAACTAGAACAGAACTAGAACAGAACTAGAACAGAACAAACTAGAACAGAACTAGAACACTAGAACAGAACTAGAACAGAACTAGAACAGAACTAGAACAGAACTAGAACAGAACTAGAACAGAACTAGAACAGAACTAGAACAGAACTAGAACAGAACTAGAACAAACTAGAACAGAACTAGAACAGAACTAGAACAGAACTAGAACAGAACTAGAACAGAACTAGAACAGACCTAGAACAGAACTAGAACAGAACTAGAACAGAACTAGAACAGAACTAGAACAGAACTAGAACAGAACTAGAACAAACTAGAACAGAACTAGAACAGAACTAGAACAGAACAGAACTAGAACAGAACTAGAACAGAACTAGAACAGAACTAGAACAGAACTAGAACAGAACAGAACTAGAACAGAACTAGAACAGAACTAGAACAGAACTAGAACAGAACTAGAACAGAACTAGAACAGAACTAGAACAGAACTAGAACAGAACTAGAACAGAACTAGAACAGAACTAAACAGAACTAGAACAGAACTAGAACTAGAACTAGAACTAGAACAGAACTAGAACAGAACTAGAACGAACTAGAACAGAACTAGACAGAACAGAACTAGAACAGACTAGAACAGAACTAGAACAGAACTAGAACAGAACATAACTAGAACAGAACTAGAACAGAACTAGAACAGAACTAGAACAGAACTAGAACAGAACTAGAAGAGAACTAGAAGAAACTAGAACAGAACTAGAACAGAACTAGAACAGAACTAGAACAGAACTAGAACAGAACTAGAACAGAACTAGAACAGAACTAGAACAGAACTAAACAGAACTAGAACAGAACTAGAACAGAACTAGAACAGAACTAGAACAGAACTAGAACAGAACTAGAACAGAACTAGAACAGAACTAGAACAGAACTAAACAGAACTAGAACAGAACTAGAACAGAACTAGAACAGAACAGAACAGAACAGAACTAGAACAGAACTAGAACAGAACTAGAACATAATAGAACAGAACTAGAACAGAACTAGAACAGAACAGAACTAGAACAGAACTAGAACAGAACTAGAACAGAACTAGAACAGAACTAGAACAGAACTAGAACCAGAACTAGAACAGAACTAGAACTAGAAAGAACTAGAACAGAACTAGAACAGAACTAGAACAGAACTAGAACAGAACTAGAACAGAACTAGAACCGAACTAGAACAGAACTAGAAACAGAACTAGAACCAGAACTAGAACAGAACTAGAACAGAACTAGAACAGAACTAGAACAGAACTAGACAGAACTAGAACAGAACTAGAACAGAACTAGAACAGAACTAGAACAGAACTAGAACAGAACTAGAACAGAACTAGAACAGAACTAGAACAGAACTAGAAAGAACTAGAACAGAACTAGAACAGAACTAGAACAGAACTAGAACAGAACTAGAACAGAACTAGAACAGAACTAGAACAGAACTAGAACAGAACTAGAACAGAACTAGAACAGAACTAGAACAGAACTAGAAACAGAACTAGAACAGAACTAGAACAGAACTAGAACAGAACTAGAACAGAACTAGAACAGAACTAGAACAGAACTAGAACAGAACTAGAAGAACTAGAACAGAACTAGAACAGAACTAGAACAGAACTAGAACAGAACTAGAACAGAACTAGAACAGAACTAGAACAGAACTAGAACAGAACTAGAACGGAACTAGAACAGAACTAGAACAGAACTAGAACAGAACTAGAACAGAACTAGAACAGAACTAGAACAGAACTAGAACAGAACTAGAACAGAACTAGAACAGAACTAGAACGGAACTAGAACAGAACTAGAACAGAACTAGAACTAGAACAGAACTAGAAATTAAAATATCCTTTTAATAAAAACATTTAAACCCTGTGTAAATAAATGTTTTGTCAAACAGTAAAATAGCGTGTTCATCACACCAAACTAAAAATTTTACAAACCTAAAAATCTTCAACATTTAAGCGTGACAAAATGTTGAACCTTCATTCAGCTCTCTTTTCTCTCTTTCCAAACAATTTAACACCAAAAAAATAGCAATTTTCCAACAAAAACAACAATTAGTTGACATTACACCAAAAATAACAAGCCTTTTGTTCTCTAACATTTTACAAAAACATGAAAATTAAACCAGAAATAAAAAAGACGAAAAAAAGGAACAAGTACCTCTTTCCCTAATAACACGAAATTGTTACTTTTTTGGTTTTTAAATACACTCATTTAACTCGTCATAGAGTGTGAACATTTTTGCAGTTAAAGGTCAAGCTTAAAATTTTCATAGAAACATCATTGACGTGCTTGAAAGTAGTCAGAAAAAAAACCATCATTATGGGACACGTTAGTTTGTTGGAAAAGAAAAAGAGTTATAAAATTTAACAAAAACAATGATGTTTTTTAAACATATTTTTTGTGTTAAAGAATATGTTGAAAGTTTTTTAATGACAGCTGTCACATTAGTTGCAAGGAAAACATAAAAGTTTAAAAAAAATGTCTATTGGTGATGGAAAATTGGCTGTAAATTAGAAAAAATATTAAATGTTTATCAGAAATAGCAAAAAAGAAAATAACGTCCATAGTTCAGTTTTATTTCAGTTTTAGTTGTGTTCTGTAGTTAAGTTTTCTTCATATCCAAACAACCTTAATTATTTGCACTAAAGTGTATATTAAATAATTCACATGTGTTTATGATTGTATTAGTGTTTTTAA